GTGTACATTTACTGTCATGTAGTATAAAAAATGCGTACATGTACTGTCGTGTAGTATCAAAAACATTTACTTGTGTGTTGTCATGTAGTATCAACAATGTGTACATATACTGTCGTGTAGTACCAATAATGTGTATATTTACTGTCATGTAGTATCAAAAAATGTGTACATTTACTGTCATGTAGTATCAAAAACATTTACTTGTGTGTTGTCATGTAGTACCAACAATGTGTACATTTACTGTCGTATAGTATTAACAACGTATACATGTACTGTCGTGTAGTACCAACAATGTGTACATTTACTGTCGTATAGTATCAACAACGTATACATGTACTGTCGTGTAGTACCAACAATGTGTACATGTACTGTCGTGTAGTATCAAAAACATTTACTTGTGTGTTGTCATGTAGTACCAACAATGTGTACATTTACTGTCGTATAGTATCAACAACGTATACATGTACTGTCGTGTAGTACCAACAATGTGTACATTTACTGTCATGTAGTATCAAAAACATTTACTTGTGTGTGTTGTCATGTAGTACCAACAATGTGTACATTTACTGTCGTATAGTATTAACAACGTATACATGCACTGTCGTGTAGTATCAAAAACATTTACTTGTGTGTTGTCATATAGTACCAACAATGTGTACATATACTGTTGTGTAGTACCAATAATGTGTTCACGTACTGTCATGTAGTATCAAAAACACTGTTAAGTCCCTTTTAGAAAAACTCAATAAAACCCTGGTGCCGAGTCCTCCTATCAAAATCACCAGGGTGTTACCAGGTTTTTTCTAAATTACAAGTATATTTGTACACTTGAAATTCCAAACTATAGATACATATTTCCAGATGATAAATACTACCCAAAAGGTTATCTCATTAAAGGAAGCCATAATTCCACCTACCGTAGATGGACTTTATTATCCCTGCACGACAGAAGCTGTATCGGGAATATTTTCAAATGAACTGCTACAATTCTCTTTCTCAGATAATATTTTCTGTTGGGCTAATATTCTTTTTTCAGCTTGTTGAGGTCTCTGTATTGTAATGTAATTGTAGGCTCTCACAGAACACAGACCAACACCAAGAAAAGTCAAGCCAATTAGTCCTGTAACAACAGACCTGTGTAGAATATCTGCAATACGATTCCAGCTTCTTGGCATTCTACAGCTAAGTTCAAAGAAATCTACATTTGCAATATATGAAGTTTCTCAACATGACATAAAATTCTTATAAGATACTCATTTCTGTACTATGTACAGAATTTTAAGCATTACAGTAACACTTAATTTTGTCAAGGGGGAAATCACCTGTCACATTTTCTTAAGAATAAAAGTGTCCTCTAATAAGATATGAAACACAATTCTATTTTATGTGAAATACATCACAAATAAGCAAAAACAACATTCCAAAGTTTGCATTTAAATTTCGTTTTTTCTTACCAAGATTGAATGTCAGTATGTTATAATGTGAACAGCCAGTTCTAGTAACTAAATAAAGTTTCTGGATCCGAAGTCACCACATAAAGCCTGTGGGCCTGCAGTAGCCAAGAAAGGCCCTTGGACCTGCAGTCACCACATAAGGTATCTCACTACCTGGACCTGCAGTCTTTATTGGAAAGTTGTAAACAGCACACAGGTTTCACTTTCAACATTGTTCTGTGTTATTTAACACAGAACAGTAATCAAGATAACATAAGGTTTCGGGACCACATGAGACCTATTGGTCCATCTCAGCTGTTCCATTCTCTTAACTAAATTTTTTTTTAATCTTAAAGCCAGCCCTTATCATTCATATACTTATCAAGCTTTTTCTTAAACTCACTTAAATTTACTGCCTCTACAACATCCAAAGGCCAACCACCCTGTTATAAAAATAAAACTGTCTTAGCTGAAGATGACTCCTACCTTGCCAAGATTTACATTTGTGTCCCCTAGTCTTACTATTCTCACTGTTAAATATGAAAAAAGATGATGCATCAACATTATCAATTCCTTTTACAGTCTTAAACACCTCAATCAGATCCCCCCAACTCTTCTTTTTTCAAGAGAAAACAATTTGAGAGATTTCAGCCTCTCCTTGTATGACAACCCCTCCATCCCAGGCACCATTCTAGTAACCCTTTCCAACAATTCAATTTCAGTGTCTTTTCTAAGGTAAGGAGCCTAAGACTGAACATAATATTCTAAATGTGGCCTAACCAGTGATTATATCAACTGCAAATTCAAACATGACCATAACATCAAAACATTGTAATAAAGTTGCTTTCACACCCATTCAAACCGTTTCCAAACTTTAATTTAAAAATATGACCTTGTCCTTTGCTAGGTCACCCAATTCTACTTTGGTTTCATCAACATACATACAAATCTAGACCGAATATATTTCACGTTAGATGTAGATTAAAGAATCTAAATGCAACTGAAAGTGTAAAAATATATTATCCATTATTTATAACTCACGCGTACCTTAACCTACAACTACCTATAGCCTGTGAATCTTCCTAAATTTTAATAGGCCAACGCACACGTCCTTAAATTCTCCTGATGTCCTTTGTAAATTAATATCTACCATTACCAAGAGAATATGCATAAAATGTAATAAAGCACTAAATAACGCATAATAATATTTTTACACTTTAAACTGTATTCAGATTCCTTAATATACATCTAAAATGATACATTCGGTCTGGATTTATATGGAGCTGGAGAGTTGTGTCAGTGTTACTAATCTCGGCTTCAGACCAAGAGTCAAATTCGGTTGAGCTTGAACTTGGTTTTGTCAGCTCGTTACCTACCTGCGAAGAATTTATTCTATTTTAGGTAACATAATCATACAAACTTGTTTCTATGTAATATCTATTCACAAACATGTATATTTGTAAGTCTTACCTAAATGATTAATTATAAAGCACGATCAACGTCAATACTGTATCTCCATACTACCACACAACTCATAGAGGACTCTAGTGTACCAGAAGACATTTTAATACCTATTTTTATTACTTTTACTATTATTATATTACAAGCTGGGTTACATCTCATTTGTCCTGGTTATGAACTTACAAAAATATGCGAGTGGATGCTATGATAAATTGCACAAAAATCCTATATTTTACACAATTTATTTACAACATAACATATTGTTACTTCTCTAGTCCGTTTGTTATTTTTTAAATTCCTTCTGAAGATAACTTCAGCGATACAAGTCATTTCTTAAATAAAACTAGTTTATTCTTTTTCAATTCAACTTTGCAATACACTTAATTTCCACAGTCACTTTAAACACACGCTATAATTCACAATGATTCACGCACTTCTTACGGTCACTAACGCGCTTGACTCAATTGTCCTTCTCTATCTCTGCCAGTCTGCTATTCCGTTCCGATTAATTTGTCTCACGTTATCCGGCGCACTTATATACAGGAGTAGAGGGCGCCTAGCACATACTGGATTATTCGTGATGTTCCCCGATCCTTCTAGAATATCATGACGTGTTACCAGAGTCACGTGACTACCGCTGTCGTAACAATATTATTACAGTATTCATTACTAGCTGGAATACCCGTCTCCTGGACGGAAGTTACGTAAATTCATGATTAATGAAAGGTTATCTTAGGACATAAAAAGTTGTTTCCCCTGTATGTAATTGTAAAAACCGCTTATAAAAACTGCAAAACACAAAATGTGAAACCGCAACTCTGCATGTATCTCTGCATGGACCTAACAAACCTTCATGCTAAATTTGGTGAAGATCCATCAATAGGGGGCGAAGTAGTGGTCAAAAACGCAAAACTTCCATAAAAACTTGTCATTGGCCGCAGAAGTGTCTTACGGGCCGAAGTTGAAAGATCATGGGTCAAAGTTGGAAGTTGGTATAACTAAAAAAACTGCTCTTCATATCACTCTTATAATGGCTGTTGGAGTAAAAACTTCAGCCGAGTTTATTTAGTATTGCAATAGTGTCGGCCATTTTTTCATTGTATACCTCAATAGAGAGTACTAGAGCACTCTCCGAGATTACAGGACATTTGTGTGCCCTCCTCCCACCCTGTGTGTAAGTTGTGTTAAAGAAAATGTAACAAAGTGTTTAATAAAGTTTTTTTTCTTCGGTATAAGGACATGGCGCCATCTATGAATATAGTTAACTTTAACTTAGGTCAAATATAATAAATGCTCAATAACAACAATAATGGGATGGAGGGGTTGTGAAACCCCATTAACATGCTCCTTGTTCCAAACTATTATCCCACAAAATTTGGTTGAGATTGGCCCAGCAACCT